TGTCCGGCCATAACCTGTCGGAAGTGACTCACATGCACGTAAGGATCGGTTTTCCCGTCGTAAAGTGTGAACTTAGGCTGGTGGAAGCCTGCCGGAAGTGGTGTTGTTTCTATATCCAGGGAAAATGGGGTGGCGCTCAGCCTGGCCAAGTCCGTATCCTCAAAGAGCGGCATTGCTTGGCGGGGTGGAGGCATCCCGACCTCCTCACTGGCGTGTACCCCATAAGATAACCGCTGGAGTGCCGGTATTCTCTGTGCTTCGCGGGCGGGGTGGAGGCATTCCGACCTCCTCGCTGGCGTGAACCCCGTATGAGAGCCGCTGGAAAGCTGGTATTCTCTGAGCTTCGCGCCAGCGAGCGCGCTCCTTTAATACCACCCGTAGATCCTCTGACTGAGCAGAGTAAGAGTACCTCAACGTCGTCACCGGACGTGAGGGTCTGTAGGTGCTGTCTTGCGCGCTAGACTTTTCTGCATGCACGTCGGAATCACCAACCTGGTAACTTCTGGTAATAGATATGGACTGAGTATGTCGTTGACTCTGACCGCCTGAACGGCTGGATGGGGTGCGCTCACTGTGGTCACCCACTCCAACTACACCCTTCCCTTTGACATGCCGCTTGAGATCTTCCATCTCCGCCGCCATTCGCCGGATGACAGCATCTTGATCCCTCAACTTGCTTTCCAGTCGCTTGGCGTGCGAGTCTCTCCTCCGCCGGTGACCGTCTGGACTCCGTGAATGACCATGACTCCTTCCGCGCTTATCTCGTGCGTCTCCTGACTGTCCTCCAGTGGGCGTCCCCAAGTCAGCCATTGGATGGACGGCAGGCGGTCCCTCTCTCCTTCGGGTATACTCCGGGGTGGCTCCGTCGATGGCGGACAACGGAAACTCGTCGTTGTTCGCCATGGACAGCGATCAGATGAACCTGGAAGACAAGGTTTTGTCTGTCAAGATTCCCACAGACGGCGCCAATTGTACGGGAAGCAAATATTCCGGCGAGCCCGTACTCCTTTCTTCCGAGCTCCGTCGATGTCCGATCACCTGCGAGCAAGTAACGGTGAGCTACCCGGCGGTGTGTGGCCGGAAAAACCCTCCGACGGTCAAGTTAGCACACACCTTAGGATGGATAGAGAGAAGGGAGAGAGTGTTTGAGTGTAAGAATTCCTTACAGAGATGTTCGTGTGTCGCGTATGGGGGGCGCAGACATGCTTATATACTTTCTGAGCCCATATCCACTCCCAGTCATCTCCTGACACGTGGCTCTGCTATCCCATCTGTCAGCATAGATCTTGCTGAACATCACCTAATCTCAACTGCCTGACTTCACAGCTGGAGCTCGGCAGCCGAGCTGCTCTACCACGGCCATGCCATGCCTCATACCCAAGCATTTCCCTGGCAAAGTCCAAGGGGGGACCGGGCTAGGCGGCATCTCGGCAAAGCCTAGCCCGAAGCACCCCGTGGTCAGCTTTCATGCCGGTCAAACGGTAACCTCGGCCGACCGCGCCTTTCCGGGCGCCGGTCACTCGGCTTGTCTGCCTTCGGCTAACTTCGGACCGAGCATCCTGGTCCGACCGAGCACTCCCTTACCGAGCTGCTACTTTACGGTCTGGGGCGGGACGCACTCGGCCCAAGTTCTGCCCGGCCCAAGTTCTGGCAGCCCTTCTCTGGGCGAATAGTCGATCATCTCGACCCAATGCACTACTGGGCTCTCAACCTGCTCGGTCGCTACCTCGGCCCAACTCCAGATCATAAATCACCCTCTCAGCCACCTAAACTCTTAATATTATTAAATTTCCTTCCAAAACCATTACAATTAGCATCCTTATATAAGAAAAATAAAATAACATAGACTTCCTAAATTGATTAGACTAATAACATAAACTTCCTAAATTGATTAGATAATAAATTGATCATATAGTAATTAAAAAGAAGTAGACTTCCAAATATATTTGGTTTTCTAGCAATGATGGATGGTAGTGGATCTGACAGACATGGAGTCAGCGTTGCTGGATCATCTCAGGCATCGTCTCCCTCACGATCATTGCTCTCACGATTTGTTCAGATCGGCAACAAATCAAAATAAGATGAGATAAGAGAAAGAAGAAATAGAGGTTTGGATTTGAGAGTGTAACACATGAGGTTTTTCCACCGTATAGCACATATATACGTGGGTAGTTTAATCATTTTATAGGAACTTGTCCTTATGAGCAAAGAAAATTAGCACCTTGATTTGTGAAAGAAAAAAAAAATTAGACTTTTGGCTCGAACGCCCTTTTTTTTAAAAGTTTTTTTACTTTTTAAATACACTTAATACACTGCAAGAAAAGGGGCTTTATAAACGGAAGCATTCGCGACAGTATCATTTATCGTCGCAAAAAGTGATTTTTTGCGACGACACCACTTGCCGTCTCCAATAAATGGGTTTTTAGCGACGGCATCCCTTCTTGTTACAAAAAAGCAACTTTTTGTGACAGTAACAATTGCCGTCACAAACAATGCGCATTTTTTGTGACGGTAACCTATGCTGTCAAAAATTAAGCTATTTTTTGCGACGATAATAGGTGCCGTCTCAAAACAAAAAAGAGAAAAAACAAGACTGTTTTGATGAGACGGCATTAAAAGTATTAGCGACGGCAATTTGCCGTCACAAAAAAATGAAATTTTTACAAGTAGCATTTGGTAACTTTTACATTTTTCATTTATATTTACAAAAATTTTATAAATTAGTTTTTGTTTATTTTTAGAAAAACATAAACTACAAACGCATTTGGTTTGAACAAAATGTTTAAAAAATTTTAAAAGCATAAACTAACAAATATGTTTGTTCAGGCCTAAAATATTTATATTTATTTTTTATTATTTATGACAATGGGATCATACACATTATAATTGGAAGAAAAAATTAATTAAAAAAATTAATTGGAAAAAAAATTAATTGAAAAAAAATTACTTAAAAAAAATAATTGAAAAAAAATTAATTGAAAAAAAAATTAATTGAAAAAATTATTCGAAGAAAAAAATTATTTGAAAAAAAATTAATTAAAAAAAAATTTGTTAGTCAAATTTTTAAATTTCTGTTTGAAAACCAACTTAAACTCATTTTTTGAGTTTACGTTTTTTCCTCAAATTTGTAAACTGAGACAACTATTTATAAACCAAAAAATTTATCAAACAAGTATTTATGATAGTTTTTTTAATTTTTATAAATATAAACTGAAAATTAAAAACGAAATGATTACCAAATAGGCCTGTAGTGTTTCACTCATTTTTTCATCTTCTTGTCTCTCTATCTCACTCATCTCTCTTCTCTTTCTCTTTCTCTTTCTCTCTCTCTCTCTCTCTCTCTCACTTATCACTCTTTGTCTGTATGTCTGTGTCTTTGTCTCTCTCTCTCTCTCTCTCTCCCTCTTTCTCTCTCTCTCTCTCTCTCTCTCTCCCTCTCCCTCTTTCTCTCTCTCCCATACTGTGCTTGCGTTGCTCACTCTCTCACTTTCTCCCTTCTCTCTTCTCGATTTACCGATCTCCCTCTCAATTTATCAATTTATTTTTTTTGTCTCCTTTCTCTTCTTTCAATCACTCATCTCTCATTTCTCTTAATCACTTGTCGAAAGAGAAAAAAGTCAAAAAATTAAATGGGCTTGTCTCTCTCTCTCTCTATATCTCTCTCACACACACACACACTCATCTCTCTTCTTTCTCTCTCTCTCACTCGTCACTCTTCTCATTAGCTCTCTCATCTCTCTCTGCTCTCTATCTCTCATGCTCATCTCTCTTCTCTCTCTCTCTCTCTCTTTGTGTCTCTTTCTCTCACTCATCACTCTTCTCTCTGGCCTTTTCATTTCTCTTCGCTCTCTATCTCTCTTGCTCATCTTTCTACTCTCTCTCTCTATCTATCTCTCGCTCATGTTTCTCTCTATTTTTTCTCTCTCTCTGTGTCTCTCTCTCTCTCATATCTCTTCTCTCTCAATCGTTCATTTCTCTCAATCACACTCATCTTTTTCTCTGAGCCCATTGTTGTTGAAAGAGGAAAAAGTCAAAAAATAAAATGGGTCTCTCTCTGTGTCTCTCGCTCATCTCTCTTCTCTCTCTCTCTCTCTCTCACACTCATCTCTCTTCTCTATCTCTCTCACCTCTCTCTGTCTCTCTTGCTTATCCCTCTTCTCTTTTTTTTATGTCTCTTTCTCTATATCTCTGTTGTTCATCTCTTCTCTCTCTCTCTCTTGCTGATCATCTCTTGTTTTTCATTGCGCAACAAATTGGACACGAAGGTTTTTGGCAAAAAAATGAGTTTTTTTTTTTTTGCTATGGCAACCTTTTTTTTTTTGGTGACGGCAGCCTTCCTTCGTTGCAAATATAGGTTAACGGCAACGGCCATGGATTCATTTGGTAACCATTTCGTTTTCAGTTTTCAGTTTAGATTTACAAAAATTTACAAAACTATCATAAAAACTCATTTGATAATTTTTTTGGTTTATAAATGATTGTCTCAGTTTATAAATTTGAAGAAAAATTATAAACTCAAAAAATGAGTTTACATTGGTTTTTAAACAGAAATTTAAAAATTTGTTTTTTTCAAATAATTTTTTTTCTCAAATAAGTTTTTTTCAATTAATTTTTTAATTAATTTTTTTTCAATTAAATTTTTTTCCAATCAATTTTTTATTCAATTAAATTTTTTCCAATCAATTTTTTTTTCAATTAATTTTTTTTTCAATTATAATGTGTATGATCACGTGGTCATAAATAATAAAAAAATAAATATAAATATTTTAGGCTGGGACAAATATATTTTTTAATTTATATTTTTAAACATTTTATTCAAACTAAACGTGTTTGTAATTTATGTTTTTCTAAAAATAAACAAAAATCAATTTATAAAATTTTTATAAACATAAACTAAAAACATAAATATTACCGAACGTTACCTTAAGTTTTCATCTGTAACTGTTATACTTGACATCTCCAAATAAAAAAAAAACAAAAACAAAACAAAATTTGATTCCCTCTCGTTTTTCCCCCCATTAACCAAAAATCCCCAAATCTCAAATCCCTAATCTTTTTAACCAAAAATCCCCATCTCTCTCTCTCTCTCTCTCTCTCTCTCTCTATTGTGAGCAGGGCAGATGACGGCGTCGAGCGATGGCGAGCAGCGGCAGACGACGGCGTCGAGCGAATGCAGTGACAACGTGAGAGTTGATGAGGAATCTAGTTTTTTAGCTTCTTCTCATGGATTGAGCTGTCTCTGCGATCTCGGCCTCGACTCTTCTTTGCCTTTTTCTATTGATTTCTCGGTTACTACATGTCTCTGGTAATGCCGAAGGTGCGTATTGATTTCTGTTACCCTCGATTTTGACCTTTTTTTTGAGTCTATACATGCTTGTTCGATTCTGTTATTTTGGTTTTGACTTCTGCATAATCGAAAATGGGCAATCACGACATTAAAATATTTCTTTAGTTATGAGGTTTGAACTTCAATTGGAGAGTTTGGAGCTAGGAATTACTAGCTACGAGTTTGATGATTTGAAAATTACTTGAATTTGAAATTTGAACTCTGAGATGAGCTTCCTCACATTATATAATCTCGATAGGATTCTATTTATGCAGAAATTTTGGTACTTACTTAGCTTTACTAGTGCAATTTTTATGTGTTCTGAAAATTTCAAATTATCGAAGTGTGTAGATTGATACCCACTGTAACGCCCCAATTTTTGTAACTCTAAATATTGTTAATTAAATCCATAATCACTCCTTTTATTATAAGGGATATCTAATAAAGAAGTAATTATGGAGAACAGGAATGGTTCTATGTTTCTTTGTTTTGTTGCTATTTTTTTTCTTCTTTTTTTTCTATATTATTTGCATCTTTTCACATGAGTATTTCGCAGCTTGTTTTGCAGCTAATATTCGTTATGGTTTCATTTTGTTGTTATGACTCATCTTTTTCTTTGACCTCACTCAGGCTTTCTTTAAGTTATTGGTGATGATTTGGATGGAGAGATGGTGTAGGCCATAGCCAGATCCAATCTGTGGAGCACATAAGTATTTTTAATTTTGCTTTTGTTGACTTATGCTTTTGTTACTTTGAAATTTCCCTTGCTTATTAATAATACATTCAATCCTTATTATTATTATTATTATTATTATTATTATTGCCTCTCGATTTGTGATCCTTTGTTTCTAGGCTTTCGGTCTCAATTATATATATATATATTCTTCTTTTGATTTCTCTGAATTGTCCATGTATTTATGTGTATACCTTATTGAGTTGATTGAAGTTTTTATGCGTTTTGGTGTTTGATCGGTTAACTCAATTTTTATCCACATAATTTTCTTTAAATTAAGTTGTTTTCATTTTTAATGTGTGAGAAAGATCTTAATTTTGGCTTTATTTATTGTGAACATGGATTTTAATTAGTAGTTTTTTTTTTAACTATATAGGTTGTTGATATATATATATATATATGTTGGTTTGGAAATTGTATAGAGAGCATAATACTTGAGCAAATGATTGATAGTTGTTGAGGTGGGTTTTGAGTAATGGATTCAGTTGGGAGTTGGTTACAGAAGTTTCAGCCTTCCAATAGTAAAAAGGATTCAACCACAAAACAATATATAGAGAACCATTACAAGGAGCAGATGAAGAGCCTGCAGGAGAGGAGGGAGCGGTATGTCACACGACCTTTCTAATTAAATGAATAATTGATTAGGGCATTCCCTCCATGTCCCCCACACTTCACAAAACATGATGTCACCAATTGAGGGTTTTTAATTTGAATCATCGATTTTTCATTTTAAACAAAATTGGTTATTGTGTTTGAAACTGGCAATATAGGTATGTGACATATGCTTTTGCTTGTTTTATTAGATCTTTAAATTTTGTATTTGTTTCATAATTTTGTTGCTAAATAAATGGTTTGTGTGCAAAATACAGTTTACCTTTGCTCTCTGTTACTAATGTTGCTATACTTCACGTACATTATAATCAAGAAAATAGTTTTCACGTTTCATATGTTCTAACGTAGTAGCATGAAACGTGACACACATGACCACCTAGGCACGAGAGACTTGTGGGAGAAGACGGGACTCGAATCGGATTCCCGATTTGGGAGTTAGAACCGGATTTCACTCTTGAGAAACAAACTATTAGTTTCTTAAGAAACTAAGAATTTGAGGTGTTAATGCCCCAAAATCACCAAACGGCGTCAGAGTAGCATGAAACTTGGCACACACAACCGCTTAGGCACGAGAGGCTTGTAGGAGAAGACGAGACTTGAATCGGATTTCCGGTTTGGGAGTTAGAGTTGGATTTCACTCTTAAGAAAAACAAACCAGTTTCTTAGGAAACTTAGAATTTGAGGTGTTCCCCGAAATCACCAAACGGCATCGGAGTAGAACGAAACTTGGCACATACGACCGCCTAGGCATGAGAAACTTGTGGGAGAAGACGGGACTCGAATCAGAATCTTGGTTTGGGAGTTAGAGCTGAATTTCACTCTTTAGAAACAAACTAGTTTCTTAAGAAACTTAGAATTTGAGGTGTTAATGCCCCAAAATCATCAAACGGCATCGGAGTAGCACGAAACTTAGCACACACGACCGCCTAGGAACGAGAGACTCATGGGAGAAGACGAGACTTGAATCAGGTTCCCGGTTTGGGTGTTAGGGCCGGATTTCACTCTAGGCCAACTAGTTTATTAAGAAACTTAGAATTCGAGGTGTTAACGCCCCAAAATCACCAAATGACGTCAGAGTAGCCCGAAACTTGGCATACACAACCGCCTTGGCACGAGAGACTTATGGAAGAAGACGGGACTAAAATCGGGTTCCCGGTTTGAGAGTTAGAGCCGGATTTCACTCTTAAGAAACAAACTAGTTTCTAATTTCTTAAGAAACTTAGAATTTGAGGTGTTAATGTCCCAAAATCACCAAACGACATTGGAATAGCACGAAACTTGGCACACACAACTGCCTAGGCACAAGAGAGTTGGGGGAGAAGACGGGACTAAAATCAGGTTCCCGGTTTAGAGTCAGATTTTGCTCTTAAGAAACTTAGAATTTGAGGTGTTAAACGCTCCAAAATCACCAAACGGCGTCGAAGTAGCACAAAACCTGGCACACACGACCGCCTAGGCACGAGAGACTTGTGGGAAAATACAAGACTCGAATCGGGTTCCCAATTTGAGAGTTAGAGCCGAATTTCGGTCTAGGCAAAATTATTTACTTAACTATCTTTGTAATTGTATAATAGTTAAATTTTTATGTTTTTTTTGTAATTAACATATTAACACAATTATATTGTCATTAATTATATTTATTTTTTGTTTTCAGATATTTCTCGAGTAGGAATTTGCTTCTTGTGGAATGCATGTCTGTGAAGAATGCGACTAATTTTTGTTTTTTTTATCCAAAGAGAATGATGAGAAAAACTTGTAATTTTGGTTTATGTTATTTTGAATTATGAACAATATTATGTATTTAAACATTATATATGTATTATAGAACATTATGTAATGGGGTAATTTTGTTGATGTGTAGTTATGAATGCAAGAATATTTTTATTATGGAGAAATTGTTTTGTCTATATAGGAATTTTTATATTTTTATATTATTATGCAATTATTGGTTTCTTTTTCAATTGTTTTTCATTTAATATAGGTAATTTTAATAATTATATAGCAGTTTATTTATTTATTTATTTATTTTGCGATGGCACCACACCGTCGTGAAAAAAAGGTAATTTTAATATTTTTTAATAATTATATTGCAGTTTATTTATTTATTTATTTTTTGTGACGGCACCACGCCATCGCAAAAAACAGATAATTTTAATATTTTTAATAATTATTTTTTTGCATTTTTTTTTTTTTTTTTTGCGACGGCACCATACCGTCGCAAAAAATATTAGAAACATTAGCAACAATGAGCATGCCCTTGCAAAAAAACAAAACCATTCGTGACAGCATTTTATGTCATTTCAAGTAAAACTTTTAGCGACAGTAAAATGGTGCCGTCGCAAAAGGAAATATTATATGCAACAATAAATTGCCGTCACAAAAGGTAACAATTGCCGTCGCTAAAAAAAGGCGACGACAAAGGTTTTTGCAATGCCCTCTGTTGTGACCCCCCGTTTGTTGGCGCTAAAAGTCATTTGCCGTCGCTAAAACTTTTTTGAGACGGCATTAAGAGTATTAGCGATGGCACCGTGCCGTCGCAAAAAATCGAAATTTTTATAGTGATATAAATATTAAAAAAATCACTAAATACCTGAAATATTTTTTAAAAAAATGAAAATTTAGTATACTTGACTTATTTTTTTACAAATATTTTACGTTTTAGGTCCATCTAAGTTAAGTGTATCTAAAAAGTAAAAAATTTGCTTAAAATATTTTAAAAATTCACTGAAAAAATATGAAAAACCAAACATTGGGTGTACCATAAATTGTGATTTATCTTGAAGGGTAATGTGTGAAAAAATTTGAGTGTATTGAGGGTAAATTATATCCCTAGATAATTTAATAGAGAAAACTGAGAAATTGGGCTTATTGAAAGATTTTTTTGGTGCAAATAGAATCAACTTATTATAATAGGATTCGGCTTCTTTCAAGTTGAAAGCGTTTGGGTTTAGTAGACTCATTTTGTAACCGATTTCGGTAATCCGAATCGTTCACTTTATAGGACTCGTTGACTAGAATATTCATGCAAAAAATTAACATGATCGGATACCAGTAATTATATGTTTGAATCATATTTGTTTTAAAAAAATGTAAGACAAATATAATTTTAAGAAACCATTCATTTTTGTAATACGAATTTTATGAAAACATATAACTATCAATATCCGATCATCTTGATTTTTTGCATGAATATTCTCCTCAACGAATCCTAAAATGTGAACGTTTCGGATCACCGAAATCATTCCTAAAATAGACCTACCAAGCCCAAACGTTTTCTTAAGTTGAGACAGTCAACTTGAGAAAAACCAAACCCATTGTAATATTACTAGTTTAAAAATAAAGTTTATCAAAATTCTTTTTTTTTAAAACAATTGAAGTAGTGAATTATTTAAAATAATGGATGATTATTTGCTAAATGTGTGAATCGTTTATCGAATATTATTGACTATACTAGTTACAATAGTCTCTAAAAAATAAAAAATAAAAAAAAAACTTTATGTTGAAGTTGAGCGAATTTTACTTTCAATCAATTATGTTAATCTTTTTTCTTCTTTTTTTTTTTAATAAATTAATAACTATGACTTATGTCAACTATAAAAATCAATTGCTTAAGAAATACAACAATAATTATTCTGAATCAATTTACTCACTAATACAATATTTTCAGATTAGATTTATCATGTATCAGCTAATATTTTAAGTGATTTCCGTGCATATCATAGCACAGGTAAAAATCTAACAATTTTAGTATTTATATATCCAAGTAATTTTTTTTTATTTATAACCAGAAAAATGAAACAAAATTCACGAAGTAGTAGGCTAAATTCTCGAAGTTGATCTCCTAGTATAAAAAATTAAAATAAAATTCACATCGAAGACATGCCTAGTTTGTTTTTGAACGAAAGACATGCCTAGTTTGAAACTTGTAAGTTGTTATTCTTGTTGATTTTATAATTTTAATTTGAAAAACAAGAAGTAATTTAGTTTTTCTGTTTTAGACTAGTAAGGTCATATTTAGCATTTGGTTTAAAAAGTTACAATATTAATACAAAAACTAAATTCAAATTTTTTTTTTTTGGGTATTTCATAAAAATTCCAAACTAATCCTAAGTTTGATTTTTTAATTTCTCATATTCTTGAGAAATTCTTTAACCATATAGTAGTAAATAAATTATTAATATTGTTTCATAAAATTTGGAGAAAAATTTTTAGATTTATAGTATTTTTGTCCTATTTGGTAGGCAGGCAAAAATAATTTATGAATATGGGTGGTTATTTGGTCGTCTTTGTAGCAATGCTACAGGCCATTTATATTGTGCTAGTTGTTACTTGACTACTTTTGTTCTGTGTTTTAAAAAAAAAAAAATAGACAAAAGAAGAAGAAGAAGAAGAAGAAGAAGAAGAAGAAAGAAAAGGATAAACTACTAAGAAGAAGAAAGAAAAGGATAAACTACTAATAAAT